AAAGTGGAACCTCTCACTTCAATGCCAGTAAGTGAACTGGATTTTTATGCAAAGAGACAAGGCAGTCTATATAAAGCAAGTTTGGGCAGATTTTGCACACCGAGCAAGGTGTTTGTCAGTGGGTTTTGTGTGTCAAGCCTCCACTAAAGCATCTGATCCTTGAGCCTTATTGGCTATGTGGGTTTCAACGAGGATCAAAAAGACCTCATTGTTCTGTGAGCAAGATTCAGTCACCGTGCGTCGGCAGAACAATTTATTAGGGTGGCTTAAAGACTCTTTTATACAAAGAAGAGTTATATTCCAAAAATAATGCTGATTTGTTTTCTATGCACCTATGCAAGATTCTGGGGGCTGGAGATTTGGAGAGAGAAAGTATGGGGAAGAATAGGCATGGATGGATGTCCCCCATCTGAATTTTCTAACATAGATAAATCTAATTAATTGCATGTGTATTTACCAGCTCATGATATCTAACTATCAATCCATCTAATCTGTCACAATGACTCTGACAAGGACTTCTCAAATACACAACAAGAAATACAGGGTTCCCCAACACAAAAAGCGGAATGCAAAATAGCATCGTCTCTTCCTAGTGGAGCTCCCTGCTTAACGCCAGTTCACAAATTGCCAGTGACCAAAATATCTGTCTTCTTCCTTGCACCTCCCAAACTCCAGAGATGCCCTTTGTGGGGTTCCATTGGGATTCTTTTTAGTATTCCTCCGCTGAAGCATTTGAGAGGTACCTGGAGCTATCCACACTTTTCCATGTTTCTATGAACCCTCCGAGGTTTGGCTATCACCAAAACACCCCCTCCACATCTCCTCCATTCTAGCAACAGAAGTAAAACCGAAGGAATGTGAAATTCATCTAACTTGTGGTTTTCACTACGCCAACAGAGACTGCTAAATTTTCCACAGAACCCCCACCCGGTCGCATAAATACCAGGTAGTGATCAAAAGCACAATGTGTCTGCTGACAAAAGGGATCCTGCTCACTGTAACAACACTTTCTCCACCTCTATCTATCTCCTTTTTCTTGAGAACACAGTTTTACACTTGTCCTTCATACAAATAACCCGAGGGTGGGAATTATTCAGAAGGCTCATGTTTGACACCCCATCTGTTCATTTCTGACAGCGATATATAATGTAAGGCTATAAAAACTTGAAAAATAATGCAACATAAAAAGGGATTGACTCGGCTCCAAGAGGCCATAAACGGTAACAAATACCATTGTATGATTTATTTCACGCTGTAATCTTTACAGTAAGTCATCTTTCAGACATTTCCTTGTGACAGGTTTTAATAATATTAATGCCCAGAGCAATCCAAATCATCGCCAATAGACATATTTATCAAGCTGCCAATCCAAGTAAATGAAATTCTATAAGCAATAATGTAACATGTTTAAAGGAAGCTAATAAAACAAGTCAGGAGAGAAATATTACTGCAAAGTATTCTCTCTCTAATCCAGCCCTGGATTTTATACAGCCAAAATGCAAATCTTTTCCTCCATGATTTATTGCTCCAAAAATACCGATGACCTTTTCGGGAGCTCTTGCACAGCCCTTCTCACACATTTATAAAGATCATGATGCATTCTGCCAGATTAGCTGAGCTAGAGTGCTTAGCACTACTGCTTTGTTTTGCCCTACCTTTGGATTGGGAAGTGATGGGTTGCATCAAAGAGTAAGATCCTAAGTCTTTAAGATTTATTAAAGACTGACAAGCCCTAACATAGGCCTGGCAACTCAGCAGGTATTTATGAGCAATTATCCAGGCACTAGATAAGTTTCAATTAAGGGGAGCTAAAACTTGGTTCTTTAACCTGGTTTCTCCTTTCATCTAATTCAGGTTTTATTAATCCTTTGCTTGGCTGAAGTGACTCTTAATCAGGACAAAAGGGAAGGAGACATTGCAGTGCTGGGTACGCATGGAGCCTTGCTCACAAACATTCATTTTTGCCTCACTAGAAACTTAGAAGGAATGAAAAACAAGAGTCAACAATTCAGCAAAACACACACCATTAAATTTGTCATGCCTTAGGCAAGAATGTGTGGAAAAACCATGACTAGTAAAGCAAGTGTATCGATGCAGGGGCTCAGAAGTACTTGAGGAATCCTAACAGGTTTTTCTGTATTCACTTCTGGCCCAGCTTTACAGGTCTTCTTGTTTGTTTAGTTGCTTTGTTTTTGTTTTTGAATGATGCTAATTAAGTTCTTTCCCTGGATATAGAGATCTGCTGCTTTTCATGTGGGAAAAAACAGTGAGGAATGAGTTGAGTGTGTGCAGTAAAAATATGAGTAAAAATATTATACCTGGACCAAGTGTATGTTTTGAGTGTTATAACAGGCCATGCCCAATTCCTTCCCACTAGACATTACTGAATTTTCCTGAATTATGGTTTGATTAAATTTTTCATTGACTATCCCACATGCTACTCTTGTCTCAAAGCCTTAGATGTAAACTTCTGTTTAAAAAGAATTGGTATTTAATGACTAAGCATTTAGCTGGTTAAACTTCCTGATAAACTCAAAAATTTTCAAAGGAATCTGTAAGGCTAGGAGGGGATAGGTACCCAACTAAGTTTAAAAGCACTGCCTGCAAGACACAGAAGTAATCCGCACTGTCTACCCAGAGGACTCTGGGAATGAAACCTGTTTTGAATGCCTGCTCTCCCTCGTTCGGATCACAGTTTACCATCCTAAATTAAACACAGAAGATACCTGAACTTGGAGCTCCCCTTGGCTGCTATCCTAACCACTGGGATACAAAAGGTCAGCATTAGCCTCTCTCCTACCTGAACCCCCCAGGTGAAAAACTTCAGCTTTAATCTGAAAACAAGCAATTGGATACAGTTGTCTGTAGGGATATGGGATTGATTTGAAACCTCTAAACTTGCTATGAAGAGTCAGCCTCAAAACAGCTATATTTATCATTGTGCAGGTTTGCTCCGTGACTTCAAATACCTCATTTCACCTTTTTCTACATCCCTTTGCTTTCCCACTCTTTCTCTGCCCTTTCTATTTAGACTGCTAGCTTTTTAAGGCAGGAACTGTCTTTTACTATGCGCATATACAGCATCCAGCCTAATGGGGTACCAGTCCCAGTAGAAGTCTCAAGACGCTGCTCTAATACAAATAATAAATACTGCAACTAATAATAACAACACTGTAAAACTTCCTCCCCAGGGAAGTGCTGGAAGACCAGTCCCTCACGGCATTTAAAATTAAACACCAGAAAACATACCTGCCCTGACTGGCTAGAATATAGCATCTTTACGATACGGTGAGGAGGGATAGTCTTGGTGGGGAAGGGAACAATTATTTATCCGATATTTGGCCACGTGCTTAGGGGATTTCAGACCATCTCCTAGTAACATTTTTGCACCTTGCTAAGCAGCAGCAGAGATCTAAGGATAAATAAATAAATAAGAAACATATAATCCCCAAGGTGTAATCCCAGAGTATGGAAACTCACTTCTCTTAAATACCTCCCTCTGGCATAATTGACTTTTCCATGCGTATGTTAATAATGATATTTCAGCAGATTGCGAGGACTTTTTTCTCCTTCCCCCTTTGGTAAATTGTTTTACTGGGTATGAGGAGGGGGAGGGCCACATTATAAATCTAATTACGCTTTCCCTTACATTTAACAAGTTAGCACAATCTAACAGTACATGCGTATGTATTTACCATGCTGGCCAAATTTTTTCAGCTGACCTAACTGGCTGTAGGGCAGCAGCATCAAGCAACATTTTATTGTTCCGATATCATGTACATACTGGGGACAGCTGCTAAGATGCAAAGCTCTCCAGAGGAGACCTTAGACTCCTTGCCACGCTGACATTTGCCTTCGCTGCCGAAGCACAAAATAAGGTTGTGGAGGGATGGGGGATTTATTTATTAAGCCTACTTGGCTCTGCGGTGCCTATAAATTGCACGCACGTAGAAACAAGGTAAGAAATGCTAGCTTGTGTATCTCCCCTGCACTACCAGGTTCCTGTCTATACCCTACAAATTCTGGTATAACACTATTTGCCAACACATCCTGCCACCTCTCTTGTGGGTGGTTTGGAAAAGTGTAACAGCTTGCTACTACTGACAGCTCAGTATCAGACTTAAGATACTCCTCCTTATGCTGAATATAGCAGCTCAGGTTATGTGTCCCACTGAAAGTCAACTGGACTGCTCAGCAAACTAAGTACACTGTGGATAAGAATTCTGCAATTCACACCTTGCCTTAGAACACAGATGACTATGCTCTGCCATAAGTTTCTGAACTCTGCTGGGAATCAGATTCCTCCAGCCAAGGAAAAATTTAGATACGCAGGCTAGAAAAGCCTTCTCCAGCATTACTAATGCTAGACAGAAATGCAGTAGGGCGTAATTTCTCTTGGGTCTCCATTTGGCTTTAGAGTAAACTTCTTTTAGGGCATGCGAGAGTTAGCTACTCTTCCAGGTTGCTGCCACAACCACACTGAAATTAAGTGTCTGAGCAATGAGCAAATCTCAGCGCTGGCTGTTCATGTTTCCACCCCAGCTGCCCTCGCCTCCCTCCCCTCTGCTCACTCAGAAGTAGTGGCAGAATAAAACATGCTCGTGATTCAGCTGTTCAGTGATGGTGTCACCGGGCTTCTGTCTAGAAGGCAGTGAACACTTCCGTGAGGTGCATCAATCACACTTCCTTCTCCTTCCCCTCATTTCTCCACACTAGCATCAGGACTTCACAGCATCCGATGGATGCTCGTGTTCTTCGAGCCTGCAGGAGGGTATGAGCTGTTGGGGCCAAGGATTTGGACACATAGGCATAAGTTGTGCTTTTCCAGGCTGTTCAATTAATCAAGGTAGAGAGAAGTCATGAAGCATCCACTGCAGCCACAACCACTAACAATAGCAGAATTAAGAGAGAGGCACACCCTGCCATTCTCACTTTCCACATAAATTCTCAGTAAGTCCAAGAAATGTTTGCTCAGCACACACAAGTTCTATATTTCTTACCCATCAATAAGACTCAGAGGTGGAAGAACCCCAGGGGACCGTGACTTTGCAGGATCTCCATCTGAAATACGCAGCGATTCTCGATAGAATTTCAGTTTCTCTAAAACAAAGGCAATGAAAAAGAATTGACTTCCCTTTGTATAGCCCTAAGTTGCATTTAGCTGTGGCTGCAAATGGCTACTATGCCATTTGAGGATTCTGCAGGGTCTTCAAAAAGGCTAGACAAAGGAGCTCTCAGTAATCAGTTATTCATACAACTGCCCAGAAATACAGGACAGTGTTATCATATGCACGCTAGACAGAATTGCTGTTCAACAGTCTTAAATGTGGTGAACGCTACAGACTTAAATACACCATTTCATTCCAAAGGGGGCTCCTTTTCTTTGTGAGGTTCTTTTGTTGGAAGGCAGCAGCCAAAAGTCAAATTCATTCAAAACTCCTGAGCTTTTCCCTCAAAGTTAATGAGACCTTTGTCTCTTCTCCAGGTGGACAAATGGATGAAGGAAACATACACTCGCCACACATAACCAAGGTATTCTACAACATAACACAGACTTGTATGACCTGTAAGACCTTTGTTCTCTCTCATTTTGCATGGGAAAGAAAGAGAAATGTTTT